GAAAACACAAAACACTTCTAAGTGCCATTACTTGGGACCCCGTGAGGGGGCGGCATGGGGGAGGCTAATCTTTTCTCCGGATGAAAGACAGAAACGGTAGCAACAGAAGAAAACTGCATGCATCTACCAAGCAAGGCTGCTACCTTGCACTCGATGTGTGTGTGTGGTGCGTGCGGTGAAATACAGGGGGGCTCCGACCTTTTGAATTGCCACTATTGGGGGTATGAGATGCCCAAAATGCCACTACTGAGGGCCCCGTCCTCAATAGTGGTACAATGCCACTATAATCGGGTTGAGATTGTGACTAGAGATTTTGATGCCATTATCTCGTGCATTTCGTTATTCAGGGTACCACTATATCGGGACCACTACCGTACTTCTGTTGCATGCCACGACATGCACTCCATCATCAATCGGAAATAATAAACATAATCTTTCATCCCCCGCCCGCCGTGGCAGCGTGGCACCAGCACTTAAACACCAACCTACTGTAACATATAAGTATATGTGCAGAAGAACCGTTTCCTCCTGTCACGATAGACACCCTCATTGTAGCTAGCTCTGCAATGCATGCAGCAACACACCACCACCACTCACTACATACCTCTCTCTGTTCTCGTGTCCGTCCCGCATCAGTTCGAGTCTTCTTGTAAAAGGGGGCGATCCAGCTGTGGTGGGGTACATACACATACAGTGGGGGTCCCTCTATAGTGCGGGTTATATAGTGCGGGTGCCCGGTATAGTGCGGGTTTTTTTGCTTGGCACAACTTAGACCCCTCTATAGTGCGGGTGCCGCACTATTAAGGGCACCCCTCTATAGTGCGGGTTTGGTTCCTCTCAAGAACCTCTATAGTGCGGGTTTTGACGTCACGCCACGTCACCACCCGCCTAGATGCGGTCAAACCCACACATTTCCCGACACACACACCCCAGCAGCAGCATACTACCCCTACTGACCATAGGAACAGCAGCATACCCCTACTGGCACACGATGCCATGTGCAGCAGGCGAACTTTGCCACCTTAGCAGCCTCACCCCAGGAAAGCCTGCAGCCGACACCTCAGTGCTGGCGGCTCAGACGTGGGCATCAATCGAGGACCAGGCGGATGTCGTGGAGGCGGTGCGGTTGGATCAGGCGGAAGACGTGGCGGCAGTCCTTAAGGGCTTGCCGGTGGAGGGCGACGAGCCTTCGGACAGCGAGGATGAGGAGGACGAAGAGGAAGGAAGCAAGGGAGGCGGGCACAATGAGCCACCTCCTTACGCGGAACTTTCCCAACACTTCGCCCCCCTGGAACGCTACGCCGCAGGGTGCGCCTTGAACGAGGCCAGCTACTTGCTCAAGAGGGCAAGGATGTTGATGATCGAAGCGCATGCATCGAAGCCATCGCGCCAGGCTGATATTAGGGAGTTTTTTGACGGGTAGAGCACTGAGCCGTTTTGCCCCTCGCAGTTACTGCTGTAGTTTGCTGGTGGCGGGGTCTGCCGGGTGTCTTGAATGAGTCAATTGTTTGCGAGTTTCACTTTGGCGGTTTTTTTTTGTTCGTGCGTTCAAGCCGCCCAACCCAAAACGTAGATGGCGTTGTGTAGTGCGGGGAAGTAGGGTCGTTGTTTCTACGTATTCTCTTTTTCTTGGAGTGCCCCCCTCTCTTTTTTTCTCCGTGGGTATCTGGATCGTGTTGAAAAGGTATTCCTTTCGTTAGTGAACGGACGTGTTTCCTACCATGGGTATCTATTTGGAATGTTCAGGTTTCATTTTGTAGCCTTGTGATAGTGTTTGTAATGTACAAGCGGAAATGTCAATGCAAAATGGGACAAGGAACGACAACATGGGTTGGGCACAGGCTTCCCTTGTACACTGAGCGCACAAGTCATGGACCAAAAATCCTGTCATCTCTGTACGTTTAGTATAGGATGTGATTTTACCACCGTACAGGGTACATGCACTTGCTGTTCTCTGGTCACCCGCGAACGGACGCAGGCTTCAACCCGTAGAGTACATCTTATTCCATACCCCTCACTTGTTAAATGCACTTCCGTACCACCAGCATACAGTACCCCTCGCTGTTGGCTACGTCCTATGCTGAAACGCAGTGATATCGTGAATAGTGCGCCTACCCGCACTATTGAGGGTTCTGAAACCCTGAATAGTGCGCCTTCCCGCACTATTCAGGCCCGAAATCATTTAGTGCGGGTGCCCGCTATAGTGCGGGGTTTTTTGCCTGCCCCATACCCGCACTATAGAGGGACCCCCACTGTATACAGAGCTAAATATGGTATCCACCGGATTGTTGTTAAGGAAAAAAAGCAAACACAGAAAGACTACCCATCCATTCGAGATATACCCACAGTCGAACGGGATGTGGTGGAATCTTTTCAGTGAGTGGAGGAAAAACGGCTGGGTACTGGACTTATTTCGAGTCTTTTTTAAGTCTATACACTGATGATTTATATCAGTGACGCCAGCTGGTGCTAAGTACAAAACATCCGTTGTTGTTGTTGTCTTCACATCAAAAACCGGTTGGGGTATTTTGTTAAATGGTTGCATAATAAGCATACCGTATATGACACAAGATAACACCCACCCTGAACCAATTTTCAAAGCTCGACTACGCCACGACGAAGAGGGTGCATAAATGAAACAATACATTTTCAGAAAGCTCTCGACGAGACAGCTTCAGCGCCACCGTGTTCGGCGCTTTGACTCCTTCTGTTGTTGAGAAATGGAGATTTGATAATCGGTCCAGGGGGTGTGTTATCTAGTGTCATATTACGGTACTTCAGCCTCTCATTTCAGCTTGCTTGGTTGGTTGATATTCGATTCGACAAAATATACAAGGTACAATGTAGCCTCCGCTGACGCTTTGGTTCATTGCTAATCTTAGACTCGTTTCTTACTGTAGAAAGAGATGGATTCGTTGTGTGGGTCAACCCACTAGTTAGTGTAGTTGCCGGCACGTGCATCGGATCTGCATGATGTTGCAACAAACACTTTGCTGTTTCAAAGAAAAAAAAAATAGAGAAGGAGACCGGAGACCAAACTTCCTGTTATTATCATCTGTTTTTGTCGCATGCATGCCTGTTCTGTGTCTGTGTATACAACTATACACACACATACGTCATATGGTGCTGCTTGTTGGCATGGTGTTGTTGTTCCCGTTCGGTGGATCCTCACACCCACCGCCCACTTCCACCGCCCGCCGCAATGACATCTCGAAAGGAGACTAAAGGGCCAATCTACGATTTTCACAACAACTACTCTGTATGCATATCGATGCTACTTCATCGTTATACCTCCATTGTTTACGTCATCTACACAGACAGGCTACAAGTAAGTATGTGGATGCAAACGAAGAAATTGCGTCGTCATGCGCATGGCCCTCCATCGCAGGAGTTGTGTGCGAAAGACATATCACCCTCTTCGCCCACCGACCCAGATGCGTTTCAAACGCAGGCAAGACATTCTATGGGTGGTGGTGTCGGCTGCACTTTTACGAGAGTCTTCGAAAGCTCACTTGAAAGCGCCAGATCTCGTCTCCGGGCAGTGACATCTCGCACAGCACACGCCAGGAGGAACGCGGGCTGCGGGCTCTGCTTATCTGCGATTGATTCACGTAGGTCTTGTTCGGCAACCCTGGAGTTCATTCAGTGTGACGCCGGAAGAGACGAGATGAGCTTAGTTAGACCAACGGCAACAGCAGCATCCCCGGCCTTGCTCCCTCTCCCTCTCCCTCTCTCTCTATCTCTCTCTCTCTCTCTCTCTCTCTCTCTCTCTCTCTCTCTCTCTCTCTCTCTCTCTCTCTCTCTCTCTCTCTCTCTCTCTCGCGGTCGTCTCTCTACCTTCCCTTGGTGAGAGACCAAAAGAGAACGAAGGACAACTACTACTACTACTGCTGTACAATACAAGTAGGTAGATGCTGAAGAACCCGATTCGCCGTCAAGAAGAAGACTACAACCCGAAGCCAACACCTGCACCCCGCGGTCGCATGCGAGCAAGTCAAGGTACAAGACATTGGAGGCATTGCATACCAGAACACTTTCATGCCCCGCACTAAGCATGCCATTTGAACGCCAGCATAATAAACTTCGCTGTACATTACGTACGCCCACATGTCATCGGGGGCTTGAGGGGCGGGGAAGAAGCGGGAAGAAACGAAAAAAAAAGACAACCCACGAACCACACGGGCGAAATTCTGCATGGCATCGATCGCGCCTGTTTAGGCAGGTAAGTGCTGTAAGGTTGGCTGCAAGCTACACACGAAACAGAGCAGGCGCACCTACCTCCTCAAACGAGGATGGATGAGGACGATAGGAATAACAATGCTGCTGCCCGTTTGGGCAAGACGTGGGTTGCGCACAGCAGCAGCCAAGGAGGGGGTGACGAGAAAAAAAAGCGTCAGCTGAGGAAAACAACCAATGAAAGTTCCAGGAAAAATCGCTGCAGGGGGAGCGGCCGTCGCGTTGCTACTCTCAAAAACCAAATTAATTGACGCAATCCACCACCCGCAAGCCCCCTCAAGATCCTGAACGATGAAAGACACACCTACGGTATGTATGAGCAGTGGTGTAGGTCAGCTCGCTGCTCATCACCTATGCGTTTCCTCGCCAGTGTGGACACAGAAAGTTTTTTTTTCGTGTATTTCAACCTTGCACAAATCTCTCTCTGCTTCACCTACAGCTTTCAACCATCAAGGATGATGAAGCAAGATGACCTACAAGTAAGTCTACTCTTCTTTACCTGTCAGAGACGTGGTGTATTGGAGGTAAACTCTACAGCCCTAGACTGTATACGAGTCTAGACTCACTTGAAATTATTCCTCGTCAGGTCCGAAAATGGTCCAACTGCCTTCCGGGCGTGGAGTGGTCGCGATCTGACTAAAAAAAAATTCAACACATGTCATGTATGATAGACTTGTTTGTACTCCGTTTGTTTTTTTGTGACCACGGATCGGAGAAGCTCCTGCATCATCTACTACTGCTTGCTGTAGTACCCGGCAGAAATGCTGGGAGCGTAGATATCAATTGGCGACAAAACAGAAATATACTCCTTTTGCATATGATCTGTGCAAGCAACACCAACCAATCGATGTGAGCGACACAAAACACAGGCCCGCACAAAAGAACTTGGTGGTTAAAAACTTGCGCCTCTAAAAATTTCAAAACTTCCAAAATAGACTACAATACTCACGATATACTTTGTAGTATATAGGAGTGATTGCTGGAATAAAGGTGCCGATGCTGGTAGTCAATCGACCGGGATACCCGGCGAATCAGGTACTCCTCGGTGCTCAGTCAAGAAGCCTGCACTAAAACCTACATCGCCGTCGTCGTGGGGACACCCCATAAAAAAAAGTAAGAAACGAGCCTCGGCCAAAATAAGAGGTCGGGCCTTATCTACATAATTAATTGCTGCTTGCGTATAGTATGAGCTTCTTCAAGAAGACACCCGAACATAAGTACTTTGAAGTGCCAAATGTACGAAAAGGCATGAGGACAGCGTCGGCTCGGGTGGACCCTTTCAATGCCTCTGCCACAGACGTACGCATTCCCTTTTATCTACCGCATTGATTGGCGCCATGAAGCCGAGAACGAAAAACAAAAGCAAGGGAATCAATGCACCCACTACAATCTTCGACAGCTACAAACCTACAAATTGCTTTCTCGCCGTTGTTGGTGACCACGTTGGACAGCTACTGCAAGAGGTTGAGGCTCAAAACCATCATCAGATTGAACAAAATTGAAACCACCCCAAACATCCCCACGGATGTCTGGGACAACATGCGAAGCACTGAAGTGGTGACGCAACACCCCCATCTATCGGTCCTGCTTGATACTTCGGCACTTCTACATCCTGTCCGTGCTCAACGACGCGCTATTTTCAGTCAATATGATCGCCACGATTTACTGCATTCATTCGCCTCCGGAAATCAAATTTACGTTCATTTTATTTCCTACACTCAGTCCAGTAGGTACAGGCTTGCCGTGGACACGAGCGGGAGTCGTGGAGCTGCTACACCGCAAGGGCACCGACTCAGACTACGGCGGGCCTCACTATCGGTAGGGCGATGTAGTCGCACTTCTTGAGCCTCAACCACTGTACGCAGGCGGTTCCCAGTACGCTGGCGGCGGCGGAAGATCGATATCCCGGGCGTCTGCCATGGGCGGAGGGGGCTCAGTGTATGCGGGTGGGGGAGGCGGCGGGATGTCTCCCTTAGCAGCGCCAGCACCACCTGCAACAGCACCTGCAACAGCACCAGCAGCAACAGCACCACCAGCACCACCTGCAACAGCGGGATAGTTTTTAGAGCGGGCAGGAGCGTTGCCGAAGCTCTGATCACCTCTCGCTCGGCGTCTCGCCACAAAGATGCCGACGAGTGCCAGACACGCCAAGCCGCCGACAATGCCACCAATAAGCGGTCCAAGCGGGACGGAAGAAGAAGAAGAAGAAGAGGTCGATTCCCCTTCCGATACTACGGGGGTCGGGGTAGGAGGGGCCACAGAACTATCCGAAACAACGGGTGCGGGGGTGGTGCCAGTGCACCCACAGTCCATCGAAACCTCCTCGTCGGTAACGTCTTCGTAGGTGCCGGTGCCGTCGAGGTCGCCTGTCGCAGCAGTGGCAGGGGAAGTGCACGGACGGACGGGTAGTTTAGAGGACTCGGGACAGGAAATGGCTCCAAGACAAGGTGATGTGCACTGTTGGCAACCTACGAAGGTCAAGGAGGTTTGAGCTAAAAAGGGGGGCGGACGACAACGTGAGTGCATGCGGTTCGACCGAAAGCCCCTACTCTACGACGAATGCCGAGAACCACCGAAAAGACATGGGAGAGGAAAAATCGGCAATTTGAAGGGGGGAAGGCGGAGAGGACAACGCATGTAGGAGCTGCACGTGTTCGGTTCGCAACCGAGATCGATCGTTGATTGTAGTCCTGCCGCTGGATGGACAAAATATTTGTTGCTTATCCAGTAATGTGTGCGTATCACCACAAGCTTCGCTTCAGTTCCTCCTCCCTCGAGACTGTGACTTCCAAAGGTACAGTAGCAATGACACTCAAGACGGACAGTCCGGGGGCTAATTCACGTTCTCCGTTGGGGGAATGAATGAAGCGCAGGCGACGGTCGCATCGCCAAACGTTGCTAGAGACTTGGACTAACACGCGCGCTACCACGGAGCGCACACGCACAGACTCTGTACTTTTGCCATCCGGTTTCCCCAATTTACTCACAAAGCCAAGTGGCGTCGGCAGGATGGACAGTGATGGCGTCCTCATTTGAATAGCAGTACAAGATGAAGTCGTACTCATCCTGGGTGAAAAACGCCAGGTAGAACGGCCTGATCTGTTGGGTTGTGGTTTCGGAGGAACAAACGCAACGCAGCGAGGACACGGGCACGTTGGAAGATCGATAAAAATGCCTACCAATCTCTTGGGAACCCGATGTTTTGGGGGTGGGGGTGGCTTGGCTGGGTATTCAAAAGGTAACCTACAATGTGCCGGCACTACAGGAGAACAACCATCTTGTGCCGAAAACAGTGGACTACCCTACTCGGGTTTTAGCGGACGTGTCCGTGGGCGTTTCTGTGGGCGTTCAACCGCTTGAAACGGGCTATTGGCCACGCTCATCGCTCCAGAGGGTGACCCGAAACCCGAAACGTACGTATCCATACACGAAGCAGCCATGGACGCCCACCGACACGTCCAAGTAACCTTAAACGAGGTACCTCACGACGATTTCCCACAGGGTCTATTGCGAGGTCCGCGGACCAACTAACCAATCCCGCTGTTACTGAAGAAACCAACAGCAACAGAGTGACGAACAAAATAACAAACCGACTAACCTCATCGCCGTCGTCATCAGCGAATTCGGAGGATCCCCCAAACATCGATACTTGGTCCCAATCGGATGTTCCACTGACGCTGTACTCTTCGTACTCGTCCCCATTCGAAAATAATTGTTGTGTGTTCTGGAAGCACCCCTCGACTGCGGGCAGCGCGTCCGACGTTATGAGGAACGACTCGCCGTCGCCGCAAGACCCTTCCGAAGTGCCTCCCGAAGTGCCTATGACAGGAGAAGGAGTTGATGGCGTGATCACGATGTCGTCGGCCGGCGCCGGGGTGGCAGGCACGGCGCCCGTCTCGATCAAAACCCCGGCGAAGTCGGCGTAGGAATCAGCCGTGGGGTCCTCCCACGCCCCTTGGGAGAAGCCCGCAAGCAGCGCGGCTCCGTCGGGGCCGACGTCGACGCCGATGAAGTTGTCGTAACTGGTGGTGCCGGCCTATGTGGACGGATGGGATCAGGTTCGGGGATGCAAGGTCGGAGAGTTGGGGCTCTGAGGGACCGACCCCTTCAAGGACAGTGGGCGCGAAAGCACCGCCACAACCGCAAACGTGTGGCGGCCCACAACCATACCCGCGGTACCCCTCTGCCTCACACAACATGGACACGGCGACAGAGACCCGTTCTACGCGGTACATGGTTGCGGGCTTTTGGGAGATATGTACGCAAGCAACTGGACACACACAGCAAAAATCATGTTCTCGAACCGCTTCCGACGCCCGCCCGCCGAGGTACCTTGCTCTTTGGCATGAAAGAACACACAAGTGTAGGCAACTAGAACGGCAGGAAACTTCCAGCTGACGACGCCGTGAGGTTGAAATTTCTCGGCAATATCCACCGTACAGCTCCGGCAATCAAAATCCATGACAGGCAAGATCGCCGTGATCAGAGCCTCAGCTCGACCAGGAGGAACCTAGGCCCGCGCATGACATGCCGTTACACAGCGCAAGATACCAGGCATGTACCCTTATTGACGACAGAGGAAGGACAAACGTCAATACACATACACTCCAACTTTACAAACAGGGCGGCGGGGTGTCATGGTCGTGCAGCAGCGACACCAGCAGCAGGGAGGGGGCAAAGGACTTGAAGCGATAACCGAGGCCGGTTGGCTCATGAGGCTATCATACAAACTTGTGTACGGTGAATTTACTCTCTTCTTGGAGTTCTAGCTATAAATCAAATTGGCCTCGTCATTGCCAGCCTTCGATTTGTCTCTGTCCCCACTCTGTTTGTTCACGATGAAGGCGGCGCAAAGAAGGATCCTAACGGCACCTACCACGTGCATAGACCCCTGCGGGCAACCAGTGACTCACGTCCTACCTGAACGCAGACAAGATACCTGATACGTCCACAGCAAAGTGCCGTCGCCATCCATGGACATGCCCACGGCGTCCATGTCGTCCTCGTCCTCGGCTTGCGCTGCCGCCCAGGTCCCGAAGGTGTAGCCCGCGAAAACCATGGAGGTGCCGTCGATTCCGGTCGCCACTCCCTCGAAGCTTTCGTCGTACAGTGTCCCATCCTGCACATATGATGTCATTTTCAGCCCCCGACACGTGTGCAGCGCGGGTTTGCAAACTGTTCGGTAAGCCGCGATGAAACGTGTTCCCCGACACTCGACAGAAGTAAACCGCAGCCTACGCGACTCGCGTCGCACCAACCACACACTTGTCATGGTATTAGCCGATGCATGGGAGTGATTGCACCGAACAAGAGGCTTCAAGCGTGTCTTTGCCGCATAGATGTACAACCTTGAACGTGTGGGCTGTTAGACTTAGTTGGGGAAGGAACCGCCCTCGCGGGAATGCTTCGGAAGGGAAAGACGATGACGCGTGGCCAGCATCGTGGCTATCCCCCGGATCAGAGCTTCTCAGTTAGACAGGCGCCAGACTGTGCGGCGCGGACAAAGAGCTGTGGCTAACAAACGAATCGACGACACGACAAACAAAAGGGGTTTGGTGTCGTTTTCAAAGACCATACCTGCCAAGTCCAGTCAAGCACACCCTCTTCGGTCAGCTTGACAACTGCAAAGTCTTGCGCCCCCGCGTTCGTTCCGGCGTAGTCACCGTCTGTGGTTCCCGCGAGCACCACAGAGCCGTCCGAGAGGGCTGCCACGCCCCATGCTGAGCTTATACTGAAGAGGCTGCCGTCCTGTTGAGTCGTGAACACCCACAAAACATCGCCTTCAGGAAACCTATGGTGTGCATCAATGCCAAAGTCATTCCTACTTTTGTCCGTCAACAACCAAGGGCCAGCTATGGTATAGGAGGGGTTGATCACTCACACGTGCTGCAGCAGCTTACAGTGGTAGGAATGGCTGCGTTGAACAGCCCGTGACCGACCACCCCTCGGTCCCACCAGCTTCCTACGGATAGCTCCAACATTTTCACCGCTGGACACCACCACGCCCCGGACGGGAACGTTGTGCAAGTGACTACCTCTTGTTTTCGGAATAACGAGCTCTATCTCGGAGCAATAATCGATAGTCCCAATACACGCACGCACACGAACCTGGAACCGCCAAAGCTCTGAACCATCTTCGTCCAGGGCCACCGAAAAGAAATCGGCGTACCCGGTCAACTCTCCGTCCCAGTCTCCGTCGGTAGTGCCCCCAATCACGATCGATCCGTCCGCTCGCGAGGCGGCCCCGCGCGACACAACGCTGTATGATGGCACCCCCGCCTGACCAAGAAATGGAGGTATGCGCGGCAAAGTTGTCAAATGCCGACGCATTAATCGGTTGAGTGGCTTGAAATCTTTCATGAATTTTGACCCGCTAGATTAATGAGTGGGGGACCTTTATGGCAAGGACAGCCCGGGGGCGATACTGCTTGTTGGTGTTCGGGTGCACGTCAGAACAAATGATGGCTGTCATCGTGCTGTCACACGCCGAGATTCCACTCGCGGAGATACGAATTGAAAGGCTGCGGAGTCACCAGTGGGCTACGGTGGACGGGCCCGCTTTGCTAGACAAAACTCCCAGCCGAGTGAAAGCATTCCGCATCAAACCCACGGGGGAGGAACCACCCGCAAACGGCGATAGGCCGTTGCCTGCCGCGGACTCCCTCGTCAGAAACGTGGGAATCGTGAACACGCCAAACGCCCGCACGGTAGGGCAGTAGACTCTTTCCCTCGTCGTCGCACGCTGTTGTGCTGGTTCGAGCTTTAACTTTCATCGCCGGCGAAAATAGAAAAAAAACTTGGCTTCTTCATATTACGAACAAGGTCCGAACGTAGCGATCGCAAATGCCATTCCGCAGTTATTCGAATTCTTGGCACACCGGGCATGTAAATTTGGTGTACACTCGAGCATAAACAAAAGCTGAGCGACCTTGGGTAAAGACGTCCAGACACTTTTTTAAAAGTCTTAATTGTAACATGAATAGCTCCACGCACAGCCGAGCAAAAACGACGAGGAAAAGCATTGCTACATGCGCAAGGGAGTGACGCTTCTCTCTGTCGAGAGGGGCAAGAGATCGCGGATACAGAAAAGAAAGGTGGAAGGGGACACGCAGCGGTTGGGTCACTTCTGGAGCCAAGCACAGCCAATCAAACAGCTCTGTACATGCGGACAAGCCGCCCTCCTGTCACCAATAGAGTGCACCATACCATCCCCCCCACCCCCCCACCTGGTATCGCCAGATGACACTCCCGTCGGAAACGTCTAGCTTGACCGCCACAAGCGCCCACAGCCCCGTATTTGTCTCCTCCCAGTCGCCCTGGGTCAATCCCGTCAGCACCACGTTGCCGTCCGCTGTCTTGCTGCACGTTGAGATGACTTCGTCCTTCTCGGTGCCTTCCTGCGCTCCTCGGCACGTGCCAAACACCAGAAAATCAGGTGATGTCGATGTTGTGCAAAACCCACGTCAGCCCGTGATGGATGTGTCGTCACAGCAGTAGGGGCACATGCATCTGCCAGTGGCCGGCCACGCACCACCATCCCTCCCCTTACAAAGTTGGCAAAACACCCATACGATTGTCTTCCGGAGGACTGTCGATAATGACACGAAAAAGGGGACCGCACCACACGCCGCAACAATGCCGGTTCTATCGGTTTGTCTGCCTCCCCCCCCCCCCCCCCTTACCACCCGAAATGCTCCAAGAGGTAGGACGTGGACTACTGCTTTGCTCCTTTTCAAGGGCACGTGCGACCCACTCCACCACGGTGGTTTGGGAAAGGCCGCCTCTCTCTACACTCGTCGACGCAGATGTCTGCGTGTGTACATGTACGAGTGTCCCATGTTTTTATTGGGATCCAACTAATTCCGGTGTATCGAAAGCTCCACTATATTCCGGAACGGACTGGTGGGTAAGAGTCACAAGCAAACAAAACGCCGTCTCGGGTCAAGTTGCCGCTACGCCCCCAACCCACACACCACACCACACCACCACCACCACCACGACCACGACCACCACTATTTAGCAACACCGTTGTTCGTTGCCGCCAACCTCGCTCGAGGAAGCGTTCTCGCTAGAACAAGAAAAGAAGGCGTCACCCGCCCGTGAACTAGTGGGTGGGGCCATCGTCGGTACCTGGCTACCACGCGGCGAAGCTACCACGAGAAGAGGAGGAACCTCCCCTTCAAACAGACGTGCCGCCAACCCCTAACGACAGCGCCGGCGAGAAATAAATCCTGTCTCCTCTCACACTTACGGTACTACTCTTCTTTTTTGCTTTTTCTCACCTGCCATCGCCATTCCTCTGTTCCGTCTGAGTCGAACTTTATCGCAATGAAATCTCCCAACCCTTCGGAGACGACCCCGCTGAGTGTGCCGTTAGAGTACCCTCCCACCACCACGCCACCGTCGTCCGTCGCAGCGGCATCGGACATGGTATCTTCGCCCGTGGTTCCTTCCTTGGAACCCCAGCGGCGAGATTGAGTCGTGTGGCGACAACAAGTCGTGGAAGGTATCTAGGTGAGTGCGAGGGTGCTCCGACCTACTCACAGCAACAGCGCTTGGGGGTTTCTGAGAAAATAGGTTTTAGACATCTAAATTCCAAAAAACAATTTGACACGAGCGCTCAACCGTCTCTCATGCTCGCACTCTCTTGTGCTTTATGAGCAATAACCCTAGCATATGGGGTCAAACCCGCTAATTGTGTCGTTTTTTACTTTGATTCCTCATCCTTCAGCAAGAGAGGTGTTCTAAACCGAGACCATGTTCCGAACACAATATTATTTGGCAGATTAATAAGAAATGGCCTTGCAGATATTTTGATATGACGTGATTGGTTCGCAAAGCACACGTCACCCGCACCAAAAACAGCAGGGCAACAAGCAGCCACCCTATACGGGCATGAAAGAACCATGCGTGTGGATGCACCGGCTGATGCTGTTCCAACAGACTGCCTCGGGCGAGACTGCCGCGAGCGAGACTGGTCGGGAGGGAAAAACAAAGCACCTGCCAGGACCACAGGAGAACTCCATCGCTGTCCAACTTGCCCACGGCCATGTCTTCACCTCCCGCGTTCAAGGTTATGCCGTCCAAGCTCCCTGTCGTCTTCCCCGCGAGGAAGAACGACCCCTCGGCATCCGTGGATACTCCGTACACCGCGTCGTCGTCATAGGACGATCCGGCCTGGCAGGGAACAGGTTGAAACCGGTGGTGGTGTGGCGGTACCTTGCTCTTAGACACCGATCTATGTACGCTCAAAGCTCCTTCAATCAAGCCCGATCTGCTTCGTAGATGGGGACTAAATAATGGCTACGGACAGAATAACCCTTCACAGGACGCTCGAGCAGCGAAGCGAAGGGTTAGGGTTCGCGCATCACCGCCGCCGTAGAGAAGTAGCGAGATAACCCACAACAACAAGCTTCGTACAATACAGCAGCCAAATCCGACGTACGGCAGATAACGGTCGCCGGTTCGAAGCTGGGCGTAGCACAACGTGAAGCTTCGCTTGACCGCGATAAACAGGGTTCGGTCGTCCCCGTGCTGTACTCCTGTCGAGAAACACACGGGTTGCCCGGTGCCATAGAGCTGTATGGTACCGTTGGACCCACAAAACATCAAGCGACACTTGTGCATATTATGCACAATAAGTGGAACGACATCGCACCTGCAATATGCACACCATGGCCGGACGCAGAGAGACGATAGCGAATTTACGCAGCATCGAGAAGCAAAAAAATAAAAAAAAACGAAGGTGGTCGTACAGCCCGCTGTCGAAGAGAAGTTGAGGCCGGACCTTGTGGGTTCCAGCGAGAGAGTCCAACGGCACAACGTGTGCGTGCGTGTCCACGGGAGGTCCAACCAGCACCAAAAGAAGGGAAAAAAAGGTACCGACGCCCCGGGGGGTTCTCGCCCCGGGGTGATCATACAAACAATTACACACCAACCGGACGAAATTGCTCTCATTGTGTCGGTCTGTCTGCTCTTCACGAGTTTGTCCCAAGCTCACCTGGAAGCGCCAGATCTCGTCTCCCGGCAGTGACATAGCCTAACCCAGCTGGCAAGCAGGCACGTGGGCTTCTTGCCCCAATGAAAGTCTTGTTCGGCAGCTCCTGGGAATAGTTCAGGATATGACAGAGGAGGCGAGGTGAGGTTACACCAACAAACGCATACATGTGTTTCATGTTTGCAAATGCGGCACCCGGTCTTGTTCTTTGTTTTCTCTCACCTTGGCAGATACAAAAAAGACAAACACGTTCGGCGCGGGCAGAAAGAAGATAGGGGCGGTGGAGATGGGGAGACAAGAACATTATGTTCAAACCAATGCGCCTCACCGTCGCCTGAGAACAGCTCTCAAGGTACAAGATACGAGACATGGCATACGAGGACACTTTTCATGCACCTGCCCCGTACCAATCGATGATGTTTTGAACGCCAAGATAGACCTCGTATCGTCGTGGGCAACGAGGGAACGGACCAGCACCCAAAAACTACATGTAGGGCGAAGTTTTTACTCTTGAGAAGCACGATTGATTACAGGGATGGCAGCCCTGGGGGAACGAACGTGTTCGTGACTTGAAGCTTGACGGACTCGGGCACTAACTTTTTGCTGAGAAACACGATGAACACTGGACCACCAGTCAGCGTTGACTGGTTGTAGTCCTGTGGTCATCGTGCCTCTCAACATTTTCACCCAAAACGCGGGCTGCGTTCCTGATACGATGAGAGAAATGTCGCATACGGTGGTGCTCTTCGTATCGGAGGTTAAGAAAAAGTGTGTCGACTCTCTGTCATATATTGATCGATGGTCTCTTTCATAGTAAATACTGGTAGTTGTGTGTGCCACCGAGCCCCGAAACAGCGTGAAAATGACTCCGCGCCTGATTCCCTTGCGGTGTTGTCTTCCAAAGGTGTTGGGGGGGCGGGGAGGGGGGGGGGCGTACTCATGGTCGTGTGCATGCCGTACTCGTTAGACCATTGACCTCGCATCCCTGCAAAGCCGGGACGGAGCACGCCGGGTTCTCACCGGACCACGCTCTCACATCACCAAGCGCAAAATAACCGTGAGGTGTTCGGCGAGTCGCATCAAGTGCGCTGCAACCTGCTTTGGGTGTTCGGCATCTTGTGCTTACTACTTTCTTGCGTACGGATGACAGCTGCGTATGACTTAATATTTTTTTGGGGAGGGGGCGTACGAGGTGTTGTACCCGATGTATTTGCCAGTTCGAACTGGCAAATACATCGTGTGTTTGAGTAAATAAAGGCAAAGTTATCACAACGACCAAAGGTAAAAGGTACTCCTTTGAGAACGGAAGTAATTGTGTAAATGGTGCGACAAGTACATAAGAGTAGCGCACATAGCATACACGGCTGAAATAATAAGAGCTCAAGACAAATTCGCAAATTGAGTTCGTGGTGTGTAGAATATGCACCTCTCTCTGTTTCCCTGCCGCGGGTCCGGGCGTCCGGGGTGACGTGCAGTAATTTAGAGAGCAGTCGTGTGTCGTGTCCCCCCTCTTTTTCTGATGGAACGATACTTGATGCATTGAAACTTCCTTCAAACAGCACGTACGCATCTGCATCATCATACAACAATATGCATTGCTCGGCCGGTGGTGGTGAGCCAGCCTTGTAGGCCCTTTTTATTGCGATGGCTCCGACGGCGATCTGGACGACCTCGCATGACCTAAACAAAATTTAAATTTTGCATTTTCTATGCTGTAGTGGACGACTTGCCTACCCATGTAGGGGGTCGGCACGTAGCGCGAAGTATGTAGCAAGCCCGTTGTGCTAACCCCGTCCAGCTTCCGACATGTTGCGGGGAAATAAGAAACAAATGTGCAAGAAGTTTGGTCCACCCCATCCCGCTCTCCAGGCTGTTTCGGAGGGATTCCGCAAAAACCGAGCCGGATCGCAAGAACTCATCCAACAAACAGCAGTACAGCAGTACAACCCTTGCCCGTGAAAGCTTGGCCCTCCGCTGTGTCCACCGTTACATCAGGGGGTACTACAGCAGTAGTAGACTTGCATGCTGCTGTACACGGCTGCATCCGTGTATCCGTAGATGATGAGGAGCCACACCCCACAACCATTGTGCGCATCTTGCCAAGCAACCGCGGTATGCATACTAAAAACCTCCTACCTCGAAGTACATAAAATAGACACGACGAAAGACTTTCTATAGCGCACAGCACATCGGCGCCGGCAGCAGCTAACGGATACACGGTAGCTGTAACTGTGAGACGTAAACCGCTGTTATAGTCAGTAGTCTTTGTAGGTGCTAGCAAAGTCCGCAGAGCCACAAGTGATGAATGACACGACACGTTTTTCACACATCTTGCGAAAAAAAAACAGTGGCAAGGTGCAGGTTATGCTAAAAGGAAAACGAAGCACTCGCGCACCAAACCGCCATGGTACCGCTCGCAGAACATCAGTGCCAGCAACATCTATTGATACACGCATCATCTGAGAGTGTGAGAGGAGTATAGTCCACAGTCTAGATGTTGACCTTGGTGCAAAGGTGATGGCAAACAATACCGCGGAAGAGAGGGCCCCGCTCGTGGTCCTCTCTACGCAACTTCAAGGAGGCAGTAATACGACTGGTGTGCCACAGCTGCTGTGCCACAGCAGTACTTCCTCGACAACAGCTTCGCCGCCAAAGACCAAAAGGCCAGAACACAGGAGATGCACTTGTCAGCATGCAATCGCGAATTTAGGCTCTCACCACCACAGCAAGAAGAGATGGGACCGGAAGGGCGGGGGTGTGTGTGCTGGTGGCGAACAGAACACCAGAAAGAAGGAAGGAGGAGAAAGGGGGCGCCGAATCAAGAACAGCAGTGCTGTCAAGTACAGTTCCCAGAAAATTCTTAGCGTGGAATTGCTTGGTGTCGACTGCTGTGTGCGGTAGCTGCTCACAAAACTTTGCCTAGAGGCTGTGAGCGCGACGGCAGACCTGAGAATCTTCCCGTGTACAGCAACATTTCCTCATTTCTGCGCGCATGATGGACGGAGACCCGCTCGTTAAGTTTAGGTTTTGCTCCCTTTTCGGCCACACGCTGAACAAAGGGGGCGGTGTGCCTCCAGCATTGAAGGTCGCGGATCCCCAAAGATCCAACCCCGATACCACATTTATTTCAAGCCAACGGAATCCTGGGAACGTGCACCTAACATGAATGTTCACCAGACAACCAACTCCGCGTTGACTTATGTTATGGGGTATGCGTTTCTGAGCCAGCGCAGTCAGGTCCTCATCGCGTGTGCTATATGGCCGCACGGAGTCCCGTCTTTTTACAGTCAAGTGGCCAATCTTCCGTTGTTGAACATGCAGCAGTTGCAAAATGTGAGCCTTTTAGTCTGTTGCTCGTGCAGATATGCATACCGTATATGACACAAGATAACACGCCCCCTTGGCCGATTTTCAAAGCTCAATTTCTCAACAGCAGGAAGAGTCACAGCGCCGAAAACGGCGGCGTTGGAACCGTCTCGTCGAGAGCTGTTCGAAAACGTATTGTTTCGTTTATGCATCCTCTTCGTCGTGGAGTAATCGAGCTTTGAAAATCGGTCCAGGGGGTGTGTTATCTTGTGTCATATACGGTATGCATAGTCTACATCCACGAACAGATGATACAGAGCAACACACGTTCGTTCACCACGTGCCTGAAACCTGCTGAAACACAAAAAAAAAACCAGTGATGTCGATAACGGGGTACCGGTTATAACCGGTTACAGGGTTCAGCGGTAGGTACCCTGGAAATCCCAGGTTATTTTTCAATTCCGGGGGGCCCCTCACTGGGGGCGTACTCATTTGTTGCTTGCCGTAGTCATTTGACCATTGACCACGCGTCCCTTTCGAGACGGAGCACCGTTCCTACACCTACTAGAGACACCACCAACATTTGGGAGCTCTTTACGTTTCTGCCACAAACTCCATAAAAATTTCTTGCACATCTTATCCCCGTCCTCTAGGGCCTCTTGTGCCCACCATCTATCCCCAATTATCGCGATCGTTTTTTCGCTGTTGTCTAATTTACCAAACTTGTCCATGTCACACCCTCTCTGTCTCATTTCCTCCTCGAGATCCTCGCTTTCCTTCCTGTACAACTCACACTCCCCAACTATGTGGGGTCTACTCTCCTCCGATTTGCCACATGGACATGTGTGTCTATCCTCCTCTTCCTCTCTCCTACGGCTGGTATACCTCTTCCTCCGTTCTGGCAAGTCCAGATCGCCTACTCGAAACTGCAATTTCAGCTTTTTCGCATAGTCCATGGGGCCGTCCAAGTACTTCTTCATCCCTATCCCTTCTTTCAACTTCCCGTATATCTCCAAGTGGTCTTCGCTTCGTACCTTCTTCCGAAGGGTTGTCTCCTCCCTACTCTCTAGCATCTCCTTGACTTTCGTTCACTGGGGGGGGGTATTTGAACCTGAACGCCTTTTGTCTTTTTTTTTTCCCACTTGCTGCGCGTTGTTGTGAGATCTATAGGAGGCACATTACGCACTAGCAGATGAGAAGACAAGCTTTTTTGTTTTTCGTTTTTCTCGGGGCTTTCCTATATTCTCATGGCCGAGAAAAAAAAAATGTATTCATGACAACATTCCAATATTGCACCTGCATTGTAACGTGGTTCAAAGGTTCAAGGTAGGAAGCTGAAACGATACACACGACTGCGGCAGCAGTGGCAGCAACGCGCACAGAAGTGCACCTTGAACAGCATACAGCGAGCTGCTTCCAAACGAACAAAATATCGGACGTATACGTTAAATAACACCCCGGGGATGGGCCGTTTTCGTCCCCGCTATGAGCGGTTATAACCGGTATGTACCGCCGAAGGCTCATTTCCGGTTATTTCCGGTCAGTACCCTGCTCGAGCCCGGTTATCGACATCACTGAAAAAAACGGCACACGCACATAGTCTACACATCTAGATGGGCCTTGTGTCTAAGGTATCTAGGTGGGCCTCGCGTCTAATGATATGACGTGCTCCGTCGCCAATTTCCATGTACAGCAGTATTGCCGCCCGTGTGAACGTCCTCCTGACTATCCAACAACGCCAACATCGAACGCCTGCCTCTTGTGTGGCGAACGCCTGCCTGTTGTGTGGCGGTCGGTCAACGTGTTGTAGCAGCCGCGCACACGATCAAACAATACACATAATACCAGCGGGTCACAAACACGTTCTTCGGGTTAACCAATAAGGTACCGCGTCCATCCCACGAACGACAGAGAAGTCGTGCTGATCGAACACAAAAGCAATCCATATCCTACATTTCGAAACTAAAGTGTGTGGGGGGGAAACCGGCCGCAATTTAAACAACACAGCAAGTAGGAGGCGGGCAGGGCCGTCGCACAATGAGTAAGCTATCTTGTGGCGCTCTCGACTCGCAGATGGCAGAGGGGGGAAGCAGAGCCGTTGGCGGAATGCGTGATGCGAAGCAACGCTGGAGCGTGCAACACCATCGATGGCGGGAGGGCAGCGCCAGTACCGCATGAAGACAAAACATCGTAATCGGCACCGACAGAATCATCCAGGGAGCGGCCCCGCAGGTTCCGAGTCGCCGATGGCGAATCGTAGAGGGACAGGTAGGCTCTCAAGCTGCGAGTCGTTTATTCGAACCCGATCAAATCCAACCCCAGTCCGGCCGAACATGAAGGCGGCGCGCATTTGGAGGACGGGGACGGGGGGGGGGGGTAAGAGGGATCCGTCAATGAATAGTGACGAGAATATTTGCACGGAGCAGGGCATCACTTTGTACGCTCCCAGCAGTAGCAACATGCTTTGCACGAAACGAACGCAACCCGCGGGCATGAAACCTACACTGAAGTTCCACGACCAAATACGTTGAAACCTACGAACTTCCACGTCGGAAGTACACTCGCCCTTTTCGTGCTTGAAACGCGCCTGAATCTCGAACACGATGGACTACGCAAGACAAGCGATCGCCTCACCTTCCGAGCATCGCTTTCGCCTCTGCCTCCGGAATCGGTTCGTCGACAGCAGTACCCGCGCTGCCACTGGTAGCACCATCCGCTGCCCATCGCAGGTGGGCGTCCGGCCAGTGCTGCGATCTCAACAGCCCCCTCTCCCAGCATAGAAGCAGAACTTCCGGAGCCGTCAGATTCAGTTTCGACCCTTCCTCCTGCCCGGAAATGCGTGCTTTTGCTTCGTCGTAAAACTGCTTTCTGAGAGCCAGATCGTCGTTGCTGCGACGCGAGGACATCGTGAGCAGCAGCAACAACGACAAGAAGTCGAGCAACAAGGGGAGTCACCGTTCAGGGCCCAGGCTACAGCGATTATCGGACGGTGTCCTGGGTCAAGCGCACCTGGCGACAAGCCCATCGACCCCTCATTCGCCCTTAGGGTCATTTCTTCTTGTTTGGCTACGACGAACGCACACCTAGCATCTGCTCCTTCAACGTGACGAGGCTTGCCAACTGGGGTTGGCCTCTCTCTTGTGCGGGACACCCATAGCATTCTTGGGAGCCCTGCGATAGCGGTTCCAGAGGGGCCACACAACCAACACACAACATGCGCGTGGTTTCAAGACCAACGGGCCCATAAACGCCGATTTCGCGAGTTTCTTTGGAAACTAAAAATAGCAAGGCCGCCGACTGTTCCACCGGTGGTAGGTGTACGGGTAACGAAGTTCAACAGCAACATCCTGGTACCTGATCGATGTGGCTTCAGTGGTAAGCCAGGACACCAGCGATGACTTGGGAGCAAATCTGGCGGTTGCCCTTTTGAATGGCGGCACGGTGTTGCAAGACTTTATTAGTTGCAAAAGGTGCTGCCGTGGCAACCTGTCCAAGCTGCCTTCCTTCCAGAACCACCTTGAAGGAGGAAAACACGTTCACACAGGTGGGTGAGGTACTCGGGGGGTAATTAAAGCCGGAGCAGAGAAGGCCTTGGTAGCCTTCGCCAAGGACAGATTCCTCGTGATGCATGCAGAAGGAAGATGGAGGTCGCGCGCATGCGCAGGACGACAAAGCTGCCCAGCCCCAAGGGGCGGCTTGTTCGCTTATATTGTCACTCCCTGCCCATGGTGCCATCATCGCCATGAGAATACTGTAGCCCACGTCATGCACAGCCACCCAACACCCCTCCGATGACTGAAACCCCAAAGAGAGGCGCAACAAATACAATGGGATAATCTCCTCGTTCCTGCATCATTGGTGACAACGACCGTCCTGCTACGTGCAACGGACAACCCAAGCCGCAGCATACATCACACCACGGCCCGCGCAACTCTCTGCTGCGATCACTGTCGTTGTGTACGGGGTGCGATCGGTCACAGCAACCAACTCACTTGGCCGAAAACTGCAGCTGTCCTGGGCTGCTGTTGGGCCGAGGAGACGACGCCATCATTGCCAGGTGCTGCAAAAGCTTTGGGAAAGATGAGACTTCCTGCTTCTTGGCATCCTGCGGGAAGCGCCCCACGAAAAGCGACAGCAAGAGAGTAGCAGGCGTTCTGAGAGGAGGGTGGCTGTGCTGCGATAGGCTTGGCGGTCCCGGCGTGGGCTATGAAAACGGGCTTCCGTCGATGCACCCTTTCGACAACAAGCGCATTGAGAACAAGTTGTGTTGTGGCGACCATCGACGTTGCTGATATCATCAGGACAAGCGCTCTCGTGTCTATCATTGTCCTTCCCAGATATCCCTTTATCTTGGTTCTGCCAATTCATGTCTCCGAAGGATTTTCCTGGGCAAATGCAAGCACCAGGGACTGCTTTTTTTAGGACAACACCAGGCGGAAGTACGGAGTAGCAGAAATACGCCTTCAACATCCTGCAGCACCCGGTTATGGACTTGGCACCACTTCGTCTCCACGTGAACTTTACACGTCGCAGCAACAAAATTGTTGTCGTGTACCACCTGACGCTGCAGAGCAGGTTATGCAGCAAACTTTTGCAGCTCTGGGACCCTGCCGTGTTGCGCGTTAGCAAGGTGCCTCTCCCCCCCCTACATACATACCTCAAGCATGAACCGAAGTCTCTGCGGCGAGGTCCAAAACTGCGGAGGGAGCATCGTCTTGGGGAAGATGTATCCGAGTGCAGGCGCCAGGTAGCCCGCGATGGGTAACGAGAACACAGTCAGGACAGGCAAGGCCTTCGCAAGGTCTCGCCCGACCTGTTGCAAACGAGACCAACACCGGTGGTTATACAAAAAGTGGGCACGTGACAAGCACGGCTAGTAGACTTATCAAACACAACATCAGCGGTACAAGGTGCTTGTGCTGCAGTGGGGGGCGCAGACGTTGCACTCTCGTTAATGTTCGTGTCTATTCGTCTGGAGGGCTGGAGAACTGTGTAGAAAGGTATATATGGCAAAGTCACGAGGGGGGAGAAACACCAACGCACTACGGTTTACAATGCATCCAGCAGCAGCACCTGTCAATCCCTGTGACGTCAGCTGGAGCGTGAGACTTCAGCCGAAGAGGGTGCGAACGCTAAACTTGCAGCACACACAGGTACGTGACTAGGATATTCTCCTCCCCACGCGGATAGGGAACTAAGGCAATACCGTGGCAACTGAGTACCTTCCGTGCGGTGTATGTGCTACGTTTCAAAAGCACCAAGGGTTTCGGAGCCCTACACTCGCACTGCTGTGTTGTGCATTGCACCACGTGTCGCCTTGCTCTCCCTGTGAAGTTACTGTATGAGACTGAAAGCACGGAATAAACCACACACAACGTACGGTTCCATAACAGAAGAACGCACTCTCCAGGAGGAACAGGTTCCGTTGCGTCTTTCTCTCCCGTCCGGTGATGAAAGCCGAGAGCCATGAACGTGCCTAACTTTGAACCTACCATTTGGGGGTGGTTGGAGAGCCCTCAGAAGCTCAGAGGCGCCCATCACCCGTACAGTCCCGAGAATCGACAGGGCGGCGCACATATGCATATGCACTGCTGTCACAAACGGATTGGTTCGAGTCGCACCCCTATAGAGAGGGGGGGGGGGGGCTCTTGCGTTGAGGCATGCCACTGGCCTGCTTCCGTTCGTGTTCATCACACCCAACGGCCGTGTGTCGGTGCACAGAAGTACAGCAGTATTGTAGGTCTGCCTCACCTGACGTAGCTGCCGGTTCTCCTGAAAAGTGAGTACCTGGCCGGCTCTTTTCTTTGCCTTAGTCTGCCTCGACCCCTTGAAGTCAAGCCAAAGCACCTTGGTTCCTTTCGTGAACTGAGCGATGAGCTCCTTGACACTTCGCCTCACGCTCTTCTTGTCCGCTGCGACCAACTTCCTGTTGCTATTGCTGTTGCTGTTGCGGTTGCTGTTGCGGTTGCTGCCAGTGCTGCTGGTGCCGCTGGTGCCGCTCGTAGGGCTCTCGGCCGGAGAATCTGTCCGTCTGTGCGTTTCCTTGGCCAGCTTGTCGTCGCTAGGGCTCGTGGTTCTGTTCAAAGCGCCCGACTCTACTGAACCACTAGCACTGCTGTGGTCTGGCCGGTTGTTGTGCAAGCCGTGAGCCCGGGCGGCAAATGTCGGCAGGCATCGTCGTCTGCTGCTGGCGAGAACGTACACGAGGATGATTTTCCCGTTGCGGACGACGTGTCTCACTTGAAGCATTTCAGCTGGCACTGCCGCCGCAGACCCCCACACAACCAAGGAGCTTATGCAAGGTATATCGGGGTATCAGCAGCTTGTGGTTTCGACGCCTACACGCGCTTTGCACGTTGTACGCACGTTGCGTGCGCTGCGCACTGTGCGTCTCCGTTACCGGCTGCGCGGGGCACGCTGTTGGTACACAGGTACACACAAAATTTGATTTGTGTCATCTGGGTGCCCCCTCAGTTGCGCCAACAAGACAGGCAACAGCAGAAGTAGAGTGGCGTGCTTTCGACCAGCAGGACCGATGAACAGCGTGCTCATCTGCAACCCGGACGGGAAGCTTCTCCTGTCGAGGTATTTCGAGGCACAGAGTCATGGATCAGAGTGCGCTTTCGAACCCTCCTCAGGCGGTGAACACACGGCGGCGGGTTCGTTGAGAGATACCGCCAAGGGTCGAAGCTCAACCCTTTCGGAAGTGCTGGGGCAGACGAGGCATCTCTGGACGAAGGGCACGTCAGAGTGCCCTCAGGTCGCCCGGGCTAAGGTGTGGATCGTGAATCAGTTGGGACGAACCTGCTGTGTTGGAGTAGCCTACTCAGAGATACACACGCGATCATGCCTTGAATAGAGCCAGCCCGAACAGCGGTTCAACATCCGCAACCTGCGACGGCAAGGGTGCCCACTGTCTATGGCCACCGTACAAATATAAGAGGGTGGCTCCGTGGACAGCCGCATTCTTGCTTCCTTCCTCGTCCCAGCATTGATACCATAGCAATATAACCAATGTTTTGTTCCAGGTTTTTCGTTTCGTCCTCGCCAGCCCACCCACAACTCCGTACACCAGTACAGAGCCGGAAAAAAGTAGACTACATCATTCATTGCGCTGCTCAAACACGCCACACACGGGACGGCAATGCTTGTGGGTGAATTGCGCATGGCAGGGAGGGCTGATCATTGTGTTTGGAGCAGTAGAAGATCTCCTCCTGTTCCTGTGCGGCTCTGGGGAATGTGACGAGCTTACTTTGGCTGACATGCTGGCAACGCTTGCGAAGGTCATTGTGGCCTTGTGCAGACAGGGCGGCAAACACCAGAGGGCCACGGAAACGGTGGGTACTGCAACAACCTGTTCCCCATTTGGCAAGAGCTGAACGTCGGGTTGCACATGGGGCAGCGAGAGCATCGTGTAATGTGTCAAAGCGGGGGCCCTATCTCACGTTTACTCACAAAGTAGTGCATACACAAGTTTAGTGTTTGCTGCACGATTCTGTGACGCTTTTCAGCGATGGGCACGTGTGTCTTGCACAAGTATCTCACGATGATCATGGGGGCAAACGTGGAGCGACACCTCGCGGTGAAAACATACCAGTTCAATAGTGCGATTTTCAGTACACAACCAAAAGTGCGGCTCTACAGTAGTAGTGCATATGCACCTGTAGGGTTTACCGCGATCGAGCGCAGCTCAATGTGCTAGTATATTTTGGGTGTGTTGACTTTTTGTGCTGACTCGGTCGTAAAAATCGCAAGCCCTTCGGGCTTACCAAATGTCTATGTACTGTACGCCCCCCATGTTGCTTCCTCCAGCTAGCTCGTTTCCACTGAACTCAACGTTGTGCCTCACTCGCTTGCATTGCCGTGTCCGCAATGACAACACGCGACGGTACGACTGATCACGAGCAGGCTTTCCTGTCGAGCAACGGCACGAGCAGCATCTACAGCAAGGCCTGCCTCGTCATCGACGAAATGATTCCCGGGGGTATCCTGGAATCCCTAGACTCTGACGCCATCTTGAGTTCTATCAAGCTGCAAAAACCCACCTCAGCAGCACCGGTTGCCGGCTCGAAAAAGGGGCGATGAGACATCGTCTGGAGATTCCCCCGCGTTTACTTCCGTCAACTGGAGCCTAGCTTACGAAGCCGGCTACAGTCAACTTGACGCCGTAGGCAAGGTTACATCCAAGGCTGGTATTCTCGTCATAGCTGGGCAAGTTTGTTTGAAGTACATATCCTGTACAGTAGTAGCAGTGTGGTTGGTTTGCTAAGGCCTGGGGTAGCAGTTCTTGGGCTGCCAGCTGGGCTGCCGTTCTTTCTCAAGTTTACATGCGTCTCTTGGAACAGGCGCGTGATGTGCGTGTTGGTATTGGCTTTCCATCGGGCTAAGGGAGGATAAAGAGTTGGTGGCGTGGATTGTGCACAACCCATCGAAAGGGATAAGGGTCCGCCTACGGGGAACTGAAAAGCGGGTACACTTCCTTACTCCACGCAAAGATTCGTGGTCTATTCCGCAACAATAAGGCTATGGAGCAGTACATATTTGCACCTCTACTGTAGATGTCAAGGAGCGCAATCAATCGTAAACATAGCACAGCCTGCAGCCCTAACATTGTGACCTGATCGTATGGCACAACAGCGAACAAGAACAACACGCCTACTGCCTAGAGCAAAGAGGGTTGCACGTGACCGTTGGACCAACAAAACCTGGTTTGTTTTCACTCTGTAGGCCCGTCCCTGCCCCGAACCTTGGAGTTGCCACTGGCCTCCTTGATGACAAATGGCATGTAGATACCATGAGGGACACACATTAAAACTGAAATGAATGATGCATCAATTCATCATCTGTTGTTTCCCCGCTGGCACACACCTTGTTGCGGACGGTGACTCAAAATCTCGTCAGCGGTATTCAGCACAATGCTCTATTTACTGCGACCGCGTAGTTTTCCCGACCGCATCGCAGTGCGAAGTCGTGACCTCAACATCTCACGTTTTTAGACTAGCCAAGCAACATGGTCACGAGCTGGGGTAGAAACGACCAGCCCGTACACGAGCAGAAACAGGTCGAGCGAGTGCGCCTGAAGAAAACAAAGTGGCACTACAGCACGCGTGTATGTAAATCCAACAAGAGCCATTGTGGAAAAGAGGGAATCGTCCTCGACAGACATTGGGGAGATTGTACCTTTATGAAGGTGGTCTCCACACAAGACAAGAAATATTCACATACGCAGACACACACAACACGCTAAAATTCACCGACTCCACAACAAAAGGGGCCACGCTGTGAAAACAAGAACGAAGGCAGGCTAGAGAATGCGCTTGGTCTCGAAGAAGCGGCGAATGTAAGACAGCTGGGTCCAGGACACCCACACCAGCACAGCGGCTTCAACGAACGTACACCACATGAGCCTTGAGCTGGTTTGCTTCACGTCTGGTCCGTGGCGTGCATCGCAGCAGCGGAAGGAAAGAGGGTAGCATTAAGACGCGCGTCAAGCGCAAGCGGGCAACAAGGGTGGCATTGCCAAGACAACAGAGGGAAGGTCAGTGGATGCTGCGCTAGGAAAAGCAATGGGAACCTCTCAATGTCCCCTTTTGATAGCATGCTCTGGTAGGAGCGTGAAAGAGCACAGAGCCACGTCATGCGACAAGCCTGCTTGCGAATGTCTTCCATACTCATCCATATATTCACCACTCAGGAAAACACTGGAAACATTAAGGCCGCGTGAATCGAACGGGCCAGGCTCATGCCACCGCACCCACGTGTAGAGCATGCGCGACTATTTCGCAACTACGCCATGGTACATGGAGCGCAACCACCAGGAACAATGTACCAGTGAGTGCAAGGCAGATCGCCGACAGTCGGCACCATCACCCTCACTTTCACGGTGGTACTCCTCACGGCCTCGCATGTAGCTCTCGTGGTCGTTGAACACGGACAGAGTTTCCACGAGGATGTCTGCCTCTTCCGCGAGGAAACTAGCCATCACTGTTGGTGGACGCACGATTCGGACACGAAACAAGGCAGCGGTAACAGACGAGCACGGGGAAAAACGAAAACAGCGCACGAAAATCAACAACCGGTGCAAGAGTTTCTTCGAAGAGAGGACAGAGAGGCATGTTCAACGAATTTATTGTTGCTAGAGCAATGGTAGTGCGTGTACACGAAATCGTATGCGTGCAAACAGGCAGACAGGTTTCGAGATTGGGGGAACTCTGGGCAGCGAACGTCCAGCCTTTGATTTGACCCCAAAAAACCTTGCGGCGACAATGACGGTGGTACACGAAAAGATGAAACTGGTGCATCACCTTTGTCTTCGACCGACACGTCCGCCATCGATTGCAGATCTTCCACATCTTTGCCCAGTCGAAGCCCAAACCCTGGAAGCAAGAGGATAACACGAAACGTCCAAGAATTGACAAGACAGAGCAGCATGACGGGGGCAAATATCATGCGTCCGATGTAGTGTAAAAAGCGGGCATACGTGATGTGCGAGATATTGATAAAAGCGTGAACAGCATCGTCAAACGAGAACAATCGACAACAAACACAACCGGGTGAGTGCTCGACGTGACGGACGCCGTGGAGAGCATTCATCGCACCCTACCTACCGTGCAAGCGACAGCGTACGTCGTTCATCCATGACACCGAAAATATGGCGCCGCCCAACCGGCCAGTTTCGTTCCAAGAGAAAGACGGCCAAGCGCTTTTTCTCGGCAGAAGTCGTCACGGCACCACACCATCCCAGGAAAAAACGAACATGGCATCAACACGGTGACAGTACCGACCGGCAGTACGGGGAACGGCCGTGTTTTTCGTTTACCGCTTACCGCTTCCCCCAACAAGTGTGGAAGTGCATATAGGAGCGAACAGAGAAACAATCAACTTTTTGCCCCGTGATGTACCAACCCACACGATGGTTTCATGAACTCATCATTTCATGTGGAGGCCCAGGTTCCAATTCTCCAAACCTCCCTAGACTTCTCGGAGCTTCAATGCGACAAAAGGCATGAACATTTAGTGCTTCGGCACGAGCCATACTTCCAAGAGCGCTGCGGTCCTTCGTACTCGAGGACCCGACATGGAATACGCAAGGGCATCATGTCTGTCACCATGAAACTCAAGGGAAAAACGGCAACAGGTATTACAGCAAGCTCGACAGAGTGCCAGGAAGTGTACTGTACGTTCCCGCACCTAACAAAACGTAAATGTCGGGTCCAGGCCCAACCTCTTTGTTGGTCGTCACCGTCTAGCACAGTTAATATGAAGAGTGCAGCGTAGAGATCCACTGCTGAGCTGTGCATCGTACCCCTAAATGCCTTAATGTTGGTGAAAACTTGAGGCTCTCCTTCTCGACGGAAACATGCATGTCTCTGTAGCAAGCTCACCGAAAGTCTTGTAACCCGACTCCTTGGCGTACCAGGAGGGCATGTCGTCTGACAGACCGTCGAGGAGCTCCTCGTCATCCTGCCAAACGCCGCGTGGTGCACATTCCAATCGTCCGTGAGTGTGCGCACCACGCCGCCGGGAGAAAAAAGGCCGGCAGTCGGCAGGACAGATATTAGATGCAAGGCAAAGCCGCAGGTGGGCGGACAACAGCGCAGGCGAGAGCGCCAGGGGGGTTAAAGTCACGCGGAAGGCTAGCAAGACAAGGAGCACATTCGTCGCTCTGCAGCACCTGCACGAGGCCTGACCGCGCCAGCACTGCCATGTGGTGTAGTCGGTATAGATGGCTGGTAGCGCCCGTCGAAATCTCCAGGCACCAATGGACATCAAGGCAAACCGTCACCAAACGCTCACAGGGAACCTTGCCAGCAGCAGCGTTCATGATTCCGCGCTCAGGCGAGGCATCCTCGACCATGCGTCCCGGGATGTATTTACTTGGTCGTGGGCGCCTGCCTACCTTCGTCAACGACCGTCAGAATAAATTCTTACCCTATAAAAGAAGGAGTCGTCGTCTTCATCTTCCCGCTGTTGCGCCAGCGCCTTCTTCTTCTTCTCTTGGCGCAGGGCGTTCAGGCCGACGAAACTAATATGGCATACAAGAGCGGGAACAAGGCGGGTGGTGATCAAACTATGTGCACTACGCATGACCACCGGCGCTTCACCACCGGAGCAACAGTGTTCAGAATGCAGCAAAAATGCGGCACCCACTCCCGGTATCGCACAGGCTTCGAGGTTAGGGAGGTTTGAACTATTCGCAGCAGCGCTCCTCCAACGACCTCAGGAGTGCAGGTGTGTGTGGCTATAACTGCTGGAGCGTTCACCAGCAAACCCCCGTATAACAGCCGCTACATATCCGACACGAAACACTATGATTCGGAAGATAGCAGGAACGACAAAAACAAAATCCCAAACTCTTTCAGCAGCACTGCTGTTATCCGGCCCCAGCACGGGTGGTCACCAGCTATGTCGAGACACCGATACAACACCAACCAGGTAACGGGAGGCGAAGCGAGTAAGAAGACCACTTCTACGAGGAGACCCTAGGCAGGACAGCAGCCGGATAGCCGCAAAAACAAATACTTGGGTAGGTATTAGAAAATACACGTACACAGAAAGACTACCTGTGAAACCACGGCAGTCCAAGGGGATGTGTTGAAGTCTTAACAGTGCATGGAAGAAAATCAGGTATGCACGGCTAGATCATAGGTTTGAAAGTGGTGCAGTACCTGTTCACTTCCGGCACGAGTTTGTTGCGTAGCGATTTGATGCGTTCCTCGCCCCCGTTGATGAAGCAAAGCTCGTAGTCCCCGTCGTTCGTGGCATCTACCCTGAAGTAATCTTCGCCCAGGTCTGAGTGGGCGGAGGCAACAAAGAGGATATCACACTCTTCCGTTAGAGCAGTGCACGCGCTCGGGTGAAAGAAGAAGAGCAGCTGCTTGAACGAAAAGAGAGAAGGCGCTGCTGACACCGAAGACAAAATCGGCACGTGTGGACCACAGGAGGTACCAGTCGTGCCATCAACAACAAGTCTTGATCTCGAAATACAGCGACAGTGAGAGCAAGTAGTGTCGAGCAGCAATAGTTACTTGCTTTTTATTCTGTTGGTTGTCAGTCCCATCGCTTGTCTCCACCAGCCTAGCCTCCGACTACAGCCGCCGTCCTTGGCTCCGCCTGAGCCTGCCTCCCCACTAACCCCCCGTGGCTTTCCCGCTGTGGTACACCCCCCTTCTGCTCGTGTGGCCAACAGGGCCAAGCAGTTATCTTTGCTCGGTAAAAAAATAACTCAACATCCAGCCAGCTCTTTCAAAACGGAGCATGAGGACGAGGAATAGAGCCCACGCACAAACCATCCCACAAGTTCAATGTTGAAACCACAAGGACGACGCGTGAATCCGCACTAACAAACGCCCATATGCTGTGTAGGGTGCATTTAACCCCCGAGGCGATGCACCTACCTTCCTTCCTGTAGAGCAGTTTGTTATCGCCCCTCTTTTGAAGAATAACCATGGTGTTCTTCACAGGGTAGCCCAGGACCTGATATGCAGCGTGTACGCACGAAAACCGCAGACCGACCGGCAGAACGCAAAAGTAAAGTGTCACAATCAAGAGCCGAATTATCCCACTGACGAGAAACAGCAGTTCAGCGGCTGTGCCTGGGACACGATGTCCCTTTAAGAAGCCTTTGCAAAGCCAGTCTGTACGGCCGTTCTACGGAATCTCATTTCGGATCGTCGTCGGCGTGCGAACATCAATTCTTTGCTTGCCCAACGAACTCTGTACGATATCCACCGCGCGGTAGCCTGCGTATCCCGGGTACCAGGAGGATGCGAGAGATGGCACCCCGCCTAGACCGACTTTCAAAGCTCGATTGCTCCCAAAACAAGTGGGTGCGAAAATAGCCCGATAAGTCCACGGAAAGCCCTTGACGAAATGTTTCCAAAGCCACCATTGTTGGTGTTTTCACAAGCTTGGTTGGGGAGCAATCGAGCTTTGAGCTTCGAAAATCGGTCTAGCGGGGGTGCCATCTCTCGCTTCCTTACGGTACTTTGAACGGTGGGGCGTGTGTGCCACATCTACGGGTCAAGAGTTCTTCCCGGGACACGTTCCACTTTCGCCCGACGCCCTGCACTGCACCGATGCCAGTCCTACCAAAGGTGAGACACGTGCAAGCTTATGAATTGTACAAGTGGCTGCAGTGTGTGAAAGAGGCGATCTCACACAGCTGAGGATAAACGCGAAGGGTAGACGCGAAGGATAGAAAAGTACAACACACCCGAAACGTACTTCCGTGCGCGAGCGCGCTCCTGACAGATTTCGGCATGCAAGGTGTATCATGATGTGGCTTGAGCATCGTCCGGGGCAAGGGCTCGTGGTGTTCGCCGGTCATTTAGTTGTTGCTTTCGTTGGAAATGTGACCGTGCCAACGCCAACACAGTCGCAAGCGGGCTCATGTCCGTAGCTTATCAGCGAACCCATATTGACAGCTGCTGTGAAAATACCAACACTCCTGTCTCTAAAAGAGCAAAACATTATTCAATATCAGTAAACTACGGCGGGATACCGCTCACGCACAGCTTGGAATAAACAGCATCGCGGCTGAATGCGCTGCAGTGTATCAACGTGGGGCAGGCGAGCGTGACGGTTGGTGTCTACTGTAGAACTTCTGAGGTGTGAGGAATACCCGCGTACACAGGCTACATATGCATTTTTTTTTCTTCTTCACTTAAATCAGCGCTCACAGAACTAGTTGCCGTTTACTCCAACGCGTGGTCACACAGAAGGGCTCCTCTCTACCCTCCCCTCCTGCGGTACCTTGCCTGCGATTTTTAATGCGAGAAGAGTTCAGCACTCTCTTCCCTCTGTGTACACACCAACTAGCGCTATCCACAATATAGGGCAGGAGCGGAAGCGAGAGGAAAACTCACTTTGCAAGAAAAGCTCACTCACGCCGGGATTCGAACCACTGACCTAACCTTCAGAAAGTTTCGAGGATACCAACTAGACCACCGGGGCGACCGAATGGAATGGCGGCCTCTCGTTGTTCGACGGGAGCGTGACACCGCCCACGGGAAACTACATATATATTTTGAACTAACAGCAACTTGTTGCGTTTATATTTCGTGTCGTGTAAAAAGTAGAAAGCCAATCGCGTTGTCCGCTTCCAAAACAGTATCGCAGCCGAGGAACATGTCCGAATCCCACCACAAGGTGGGGAGCAGGGAGCAGAATTCTCGATTGAGTTCCCCCGCAAAAATGCCATCTCCCGACTAAACCAATCGAGGATGCAACACTCCGGTCGACGGTTCGCCGCATTTCGTCCCAATTTGTCTTTCGTTGAACCGCTGCTGCTGCTGGCTGCCGTCTGTTTCGCTCGCGTGTTGAGCTCCAAATGTGCGAGGAGTTCCAAGCTTGTTCTATGAACCGGTCGGTGTCTGTGCGTCTATGTAGAGTCGGGCATGCGGGGGATACGTCCTGCTGCGACGGATTTCAAGGGGCAGTCTATCGCCAAAGGTGTTTGGGAAATATCTTCTTCCTAACCGAAAGGCGCTGCTTGGTAACCGAAGTGCCTCATACCTCGAAGTTGGCGTTAATGGTGTTGCCCTGCTTGGCAACGACGATAGCACAGGCGATGCTCCCGTCGTCCACATCCATCGTCATCGAATTGACGCTGGTCACCAGCAGAGCAACCAAGCACACGGAAGTAACTCGCAGCGGCCCATGCCATCTTGCAACCCGTGCAGCCCCTGGCCCTCCTCTTCGTCCCATCATGGCGCAGCACACACAAGCTCTAGCCTATGTTGTCTCTGCTGCTGGAGGCTGGTGGTTCCGTCGAGGAGCCATGCGGAGGAGGGGTCCCCAGAATCGTTTATGGTGGTACGTGGGATACTAGGCCGCGGACCCCCTAGCCTTCGCCCCTCTTGTCGATTGTCGACCCTCCCTGCTCCTCCCACCCAGAGCAAAGGCAGAAGGAAGCAGGCCCTGAGCGGACAAGAGGAAGAGGGATAACCATGAAGGTTAAAACTATTAGCCGCGTGGAGGAGTCCTACACTCGTGACTGCAAGGGTGACCGGCTTCAAGTGCACCGAAACCGCGACCCCTCCCTGCATCCTTTTGAAAAGGTATGGTTACCCCGCAACTTTGGTAGACCGGGTGGGGGTGCGTTGTGCGTTGGCTGTTGGCTGATCAAGTCGGGACTAGCAAGTTCTTGCGTACAAGTATCATGTTTCCCGTTTGTGGCGGTTCCGTGGACCGATCTCTACGTTGATCGTACAGACTGCAAGGGCCGAGAGAGTTGTAAATCTTGTCAGCACGTCAGCACCACATGATTGCGCGAAAATTAGAGTGAAACGCGTTGACAGTCTCGCCTGTTTGGAGTCCTTTCCCCCATACCCGCCCAATCACAACCTAGACCTGTCCGCGCATCACAATTCTACCCTATCCAACGCGACTCCAACCTATTTCCTTTGAAGTGAATCAAACACTCCCCAACAACGCCTTGCACCTTGGCACATGTTTCTGCCTACTACGCGAACCCACGTAGAAGCAGCACCTAACCAAGGGTACACCTTACTGGCACGCGTGTAGGTTTGCAGGTTCAGGTTTTAGGTTAGATTCGAGGGGGTTATGGCCGATTCACCTTGTGAGTATACGTGCTTTAGAAACACTGCTGTAATCCTGTGACGAGGACAATCGCGACGAGCAATAAACTTCCCATTCTGCTCATCCATCCGATCTATGCCGTTGACTATTTCGCTGTTTCTCTTTCGCATCGTCAACGCCCTCTTTCTTCAAGGCAAGAGAGTACACCCGAGCATTACAGTCAGTAAAGCTTGACAAGATGTTTGCGAAGCCTCTGGTTGGGGCGTTGGATGGGCATGGAGACGGCGTGTTCTGCTCCGCCTCAAGCAGGAGAAATCTTGTGCAGTTCTTGTCAGGTGTGGTTGTGTGTGTGTGCCCCTGCAATCGCGCTTGGTGCATGCACACGGCGAGACGTGTAGGTGTGAAGACGATTCTTGGACGGCATGCCGAAAGTCTAAATACGCTTTGTCTGAGCTGTGCTCCGGAGTCAGCCTACGACAACGGTTTCGATGGGCTTGGTGGGTGACAAGAGAGGCAAACCGCTACTCCAACCCGGCGCGGTAGATGTGGGCCCACAGCACCGTGGCCGTTTTATCCTTGATCGATGTTTCCTGTGATGCGGGTTATACGAAATTGGAGACATCTGAAACGAGGGGCGTGCCGGTTTGGTGTTTGCCGGATGGCTTGGCATGCCCCCGCCCCGCCATTTGAATACAAAACGTCAATAACAGAACAGTTTGCTAGGACATATGCCACGAGCCGCTGAGCTAGATATACACAGCACGAACGGCTGATGCTATCTTCGTGTTTCTGCTGCCGTGTGGGCAATGTGTCGGTGCCTCGCTCTGCGGTTTCATTTGTACGGCATCCAACACGATTGTCAATGTGTTGGTGGAGCAGGCGCCTGTGACGGGGAGATCCGACTGTGGGACCTGTCGCGGCGCAGCTGCGTGTGGCGGGCGGTTGGACACCAGGGTTTCGTTCGAGGTCTGTCGGTCACCCCGGACGGAGCCAGCTTCCTGTCCGCGGGGGACGACGGGATGGTCAAGCAGTGGGAGCTCGGCGTGGCATCTGATCTCTCGGAGGTCAGGAGGAAAATCAGTTTTGTTGACGCAGAAGTTGCTGCCTATGCTGTTGTTGTCATACAAGCGGTCGTATCGAAAAGAACCTGCGAGTGTTGCGTTTAAGGGAGGCCATCGTATGGCGGAGGTCTCCGTTTCTGTCGAGAGCAAGATGGCATATGTTCGTTGCTACACTGCTGCTGCGCGGTCGTTGCCTGAAGACGTGGCGAGGGAGAAAGGCGTGGTGATTCGTGGTGGTAGCGACAGCAAGTGTTCGCTGGTACAATATTACTGTACCTGTTTTTGTCCTTGTGTCAACAACGATGCGATGTTCACAATCGTAATGCTTGTCAAACCATGCTGCAATGCCGCCCCTTGGCGTGCAGACGCCGGAACCCACGGCGACTTGGATGGGCAAGTCGGGCGGCTTTAAGTCCCTCGACCACCACTGGACGGACGCGAAGTTCGCCACGGCTGGAGACTCGGTAGACCTTTGGGACCACAGCAGAGCCGAACCAACGCTCTCGTACCAGTGGGGTGCGGACAGCAACAACTGCGTGAGGTGCGTCATCATTGGGACAAGCCCGTCTGTGCCCTCCTCCTATAGTGTCACGGCACCGCACAAGAGACGCAGGAGTGTGTACTGTAGGCTACATCGTGCACGACTTGCCGCAGCAACCAGCATTTGACCGCGCTGTCGTCGACGTCGACCGTACGCTCGCCACGCGCCGTCCTCCGTCCGTCGCTGCCTTGTCGCCCTGGCCTGTCCCAGGTTTAACCCCGCTGAGAGATGTTTGCTTGCGAGCACTGGCTCCAGCCGAGAAGTGTGCCTCTACGATACGAGAGCGACGGTGCCTATGCGCAAGGTAATTGTCAGTGCGGGGCAAACACGCCGTCAGCAATATCTGTCGGTTGAATCCCACTCCCCCCCGCCGAGATTCCCAAAATAGCGGTACCGAGGTAAAAAGCGCTGCCCAGCTGTTACCTGACCACGCGCTGGACGCTATTTTGCATGTCCAGCGAAATAACTCCTACCTGGTTCACGTCTGCACTCATGTAGACGTCGATCACCCGCACTTGCACCCTTTTAAAGGTGTGTTATATATGTGCAGGTCTGTTTCATCTGACTGCTGTGTGCTGTGTATTTGATTGTGCTTGAATTGTTCGGCAATGCTGTGTAGAGGGCGCGATACCACCACCAGAGAGGATCTGACCCTGGTACTCTCGCGTATTTGTTTCAAATCTGTCCTATACCTTGGCCTAACGCTTTGTTTCTCTCTTCTCTCTCTCTTCTCTCTCTCTCTCTCTCTCTCTCTCTCTCTTGGCCCTCGCGGACACTTTGCTTCTTTGTGTGGAAGGTTGTCTTGCAAATGCGATCAAACGCCGTGGCGTGGAACCCTCAGGAGCCAATGAATTTCGTTTGCGCCAACGAGGACACCAATCTCTACACGTTCGACCTGCGGAACCTCAACCAGGTGAGTCACTACGGCTGCGCACCCTTCCCTGTGCAAGCAAGGGCATTCTGCATGTATGACTGACTAGTTGCTGTCAATGAGATAGCTACGAGACAAGGCGCGCAGGTTCATCCCCCTGGTGGTGGCCGCGAAGCTCTGTATGAAACACGCAGGTGTTCCTCACGTTGCTGTCAGCCTCTCCTTGAACCTCCATTGGCATTGCGCGTTCTCACGACCGAACGAGCAGCATTGATACTCTCCAGACTGGCTCACTCGCACTCGAATCTATTCTAAATGACAAATCTAAATGACAACCAACGGAATAGCTTTTCTTCGAAGCTCACGCGTCTGGCTCCACGCACAGATCCATAAGCAGGTTTGCACTGCCGCGCGTGGCCCCTTTACATCTCGCCCTCTCTGCCTCTCAACGCCAGGCCTTGATGATCCACAAGGACCACGTGTCTGCGGTGATGGACGTGTCCTTCTCGCCCACGGGGCAGGAGTTCGCGAGCGGGTCGTACGACCGCACGGTTAGGGTCTTCCCGCACCGCGCGGGTCGATCGCGGGAGGTGTACCACACCAAGCGCATGCAGCGCGTGTTCTGCGTCAACTTCAGCGCGGATGCGAGGTATCTGCGTCAGCAGGGACTACTGCTGTGTTGTTGTGGAATCCGTTTCTTATGCAGCCCGTGGAAACCCCGGTTGATCCGGAGAAAGCTATTGAATGATGAGAGGGAGAAGGAGAGGGGTGATGCGCCCGTGAGGCGGCGGCACGCCGCAGAGATCCCGTAGATTACCTCCAGGAAATTGGTATTGTGCCGTCGAACACCCGCCACTGCAGAGCAGGGGGTGATGAGAGCGAGAACGAGCAGTTGACGGGTACCGTGGTACTCTTTGCGGAGCCCCTCCTCCAAATTCAACAAGCCCCCGGCACGGTACACTACAACGATGTTTATTTATTTGCCGAAAATGTTGATATCTTCCGAGGTTGAACCTGCCCTGCCACCGTTTAGGCGGGAGTTTCGTGGTACGTTCACGCCAAGGTTCTAGTATACCACGCAGGCGTGCTTGTTGTTTTGCCCCGCTCGCTTCTCGGATCGCCTCGTCGCCGCCGACTGTCGAGGCTTGCTTTGAGCGCGCATTTTGGTTTGCCGGGTGTTGCGCCGCAAAGGCTCTCTCGGCTCGATTTTTTGCTGCTCCCCCCATCTTGGTGCTCGATGCTCCCATTGCTTGGTCGCGTACCTTTTGTATAACACCGCACCTGCTACCGCTGCTGCTAAAACCCTTGCGGTGGATACGACAGGTTTGTGATGACGGGCAGCGACGACACGAACCTTCGGATCTGGAAGGCCAATGCGTCGGAGAAGCTGGGGAAGGTGGTGCCGAGGGAGGCTAGGAAGCAGGAGTACAGGGACAGCCTCAAGAAGAGGTGAGCTCCGTCCTTGCTTGTCGTCCTTGCACGCGGCAGGGTTGGCCGTGCTCGTCTATACTGGTGTCTCGTCTTTCGTACCGGTAGGAGGTTGCCGTTAACGGGTATTGTGAACACATTCCGTGCCCAGTCCGAGGACATGGCCGTGTGTATGGGTGGGGGGGAGCAGCTACCCAAGGCCCACCTCGTTTCCAGCGCACGGCACACTGTTTTTTGTGTGGCCTCCGCACATCTTGAAACCTATTCGTACCGTAGTGGCGCCGCCTGCGTCTTCGCAGCCATGATCCCATGGCCTAATTCTTGCCGCGCGCACGGGCACGTATACAATTTCCCCCCCGCCACGATCGAGAGCAGGTACGAACACATGCCCGAAGTGCGGCGAATTGCGAAGCACCGACACGTGCCGAGAATCGTCAAGAAGGCGGCGGAGGCGGAGCGCGTGCAGAGGGACAAGGAGCGCCGGAAGGTGAGCGGCGGGTTCCGAACCTCATGAGACGTGACACTCGCGTGCACAATTACATAGTAGTAGGCATACGCTTATGCACACCTCGTGGATCTTGCTCTTGAATAGGTTACTACTGTGGGCTGTTGGAAGCCATACATGGGGATTTTTTTAACGTCTGTTTTGCCGGTGTCCCTGCCTGGCCCTGTCGTGAAACGAGGGGGAGGGTAGGAGTCGGGCACTTCCGTTCTTAAAGACCTTTGCATCTTTCGCGAAGAGGAAGCTCGCCATTTGCCTTATCGGCCTCGGGAAAACAGGCACAGAGGGGCGGAACGGCGGCTTTTAGTGTCAAGAAATCAATCCTGCCCGGTTTGTGCAATGCGTGCCTACTTTTCATGGACCAAGCTTCTTCAAAATAGCCGCCACATGGATTCGACTGAGTGGCGTCCCGGTTTTGCCTACTACTCCCGACAGGTGGACAACCGCATCAAGCACAGCAAGGCCGGGACGGTGGAGACGGTGCCAGAGAGAAAGAAGAAGATCGTCAAGGAGCTCACGTAAAGGCACGCTTTTCTAGTCTTGCGCCCGGTCGTGCTCTTCTGAGGACGGGCGTTTCACGTGTGGCAATTACTGTTGCTGTGTTGGTATTTGTTTTTGGCCGGTGGCCCCGAGAGCGCCTTTTGTGTCTCTGTCGTCTGTTGTTAGGAGCTACCAGACATCTCTCTCGAGTTCTCTTGGAAAAACCTCGACTCTGTTATGGCTTCCAATTAGCGAGGGCTTGAGTTATTAAGAGTGCGAAGGGGGGAGCTAGGGAGCACGCACTGCTGATGCAGTCTGAATTGGGATAAATTGTCGGAAATGTAGCCTCAGCCCGCCTTCGTCCCGAGCTGAGAACGCACAAGAAAGCTGCGTAGGAAATTTCTTAGAACGCTCCCCCGCCGATACTGATTCATGGTCTCCCGTGCCGAAGGAATGTTTGAGGGGGGGGGGGGCTTGGCGTGAAAGCATGTGAAACGGTACCGATGCATCCGAAAAGTGCAGGCGCAAGACGAGTACGTGCATGCAGAGGAGTCTCGTGGGCTGTTCGGCCGTGTCAGAAGTAACGACGAAGGCGCTAAAAGCAATGCAACAAAATGAGCTACGATACACACAGGGTGGGTTAGCTGCTCGTTGAGCGGAGTAACACCATTCGCTCTGGTGTCGCAACCGGGCTAACACCCGGTTCGCGAATCGGGCGAGTGAGTGATAGGATCGCCGCCCTTCAGTTGCTTGTATGACTTAATCCGTTCCACCCCGCTCAGTGGGTGGTTTATTCAGGCGTAAAGCTGAAACCAGCGATATGTAGCACGTGAGAACCGGAGTGCACCTACAATCAATGCACCACGCATCACGTATTTCGCTCTTGCAAAGGAATTGTATTATGGTCTTTTTAGGATCCTCCAGCGAAACATCTAGTTTGCTAAACCCACCAGCCACCCGTGACTATTTTACCACACGTGAAGAAGTAGGACACTTGCAGCTCCGTTGGTTCAACATCAGTACTATCTACTGCGAAGTGCCCAAATACTAACTCGAGAATTCAGCGTCTGTGATGAGCCTTAGCGTTGCCTTTGTACACGGGTCAGCCTGCGCGCGGCCGACCTCTTAATTCACTCGAACCTATATTTTTTCAATGATATGACTGCCGGGTACATCCAGCAACCTGGTATATATACCTAGTGCGTCGTGTCCATCCACCTGACCAACATGCACGACAGGCATGCATACAACGCACACCGCCCAACAGTAAATTGACAAAAGACTATACAAGTAACACTTTAAAGGCGCGCAATAATCGGAAAACAAAGCACCGGGTCAGAGCAGAGCCTGACATGACACACCACTTGGTTTCGAGAGCGAGAGAGCGCGAGGGCTGAAGAAGGAACGCGCTACAGCGTTCAGTGCCCCCCGCGCGACCGTCGACTAGCAGCGTGTACCCCTTCCGAGGCTACGGGGCTCAACCACCGTCCTACAACACTTGCTGCTCCTCTAGCTGAGCTTCTGGAGTCTCAAGCGTGTTAGGTACGAGTTCCCAATGTCCCCGCGGACAGCCTCCTTAAGGAAACTGGATTGACAACACACCCCCGGGAAGGCGGAAGCACCAACGATTCGAAACCTCCTCCCTACCAAAGAGTAAGATATGGTACATGGCATCCCCTCATTCGGATGATAACTTCGGACGAACAGCAGTTAAAAAATATGAGAAAAAAGAGCAGAACTATTGTACCTCCCCTTGAATTGACAAAATCAAGGTGGGGCCGGAGAGGGAAACTCCACGGCCCAACAGCAGTGTTAGTACGACAAGCAGTGTGTGACTACTGCGAACACAACCTTTTGGCTCTTTGGAGCCGAACAAATATTAAAACAAACTATGAAGTGGGACGAACTATCTTACCACACAGAAAATTCGCGTTCCGAAACAGCTCCACCACCATTTATCGCCGACGATCTACGAGGGTCCTGCGGGCCTCTTACGAATCCTGCGAAACGACTGCTGCTGTCCCCTGCGCGGCACGCGCGGCCTCACAAAAACTCAATGACGCCCTTCATCAACGCGGGGTCGGCATGCACGCAGAGCTGCGCGACCAGCCACCCCTGAGAAGGGACGGCCGATGCGACCGACCCGCCAGCTAGGGAACGCCTAAAGCGGCGCTTGGTGTCGCCATGGTCGCGTTCGAGCCGCTCCCTCCCTGCCAACGCACCCCCGTCGGATGCGCCATCAGCAAGCGCGAGGACAGCGTTAGCCCTCTTGCGGAGAGTCTCGCACACCAGCACCATGCCCCGCTTCCTCTGCCACCTCTGCGCGCTCGTCAGGGCGAGCCTCACCCGCTCCCCTTCCGCCAGCTTCTTCTCGAACGCCTCCCTGGCGAGCTTGGCCTTGCCGCTCATCGTCTCGGGCCCGCCCTGGGTGGCGGGGGCGGGGCGAGCGCTGACGGGGATGACGAGGGTACCCACCATGTCCAGCGGCGTGGCGCCGCGCTTGTTCCTCCTCGAAGGGTCGGCGCCGCGCAGGAGGAGCTCCTCCACGCAGCTCAGCCGCGAGAACCCGGCCGCGAGGTGGAGCGGGGTGGTGCCCGCGGGGGTGGACGGCGAGTCCACGGCCTCGCCGGCGTCCAGGAGGGCCCTCAGGGCAGTCAAGCGCCCGCACCTTGCCGCCACGTGCAAGGGAGTAAAGCCCTGCGACAATAGTAGAGGCGAAAAAAACACAGCGTAGGGGGGGGGGGGGCGGGGTGGCCTTCGTCTAGTGGGGGCCGGGGTAAGGGAACTTTTTTCCTGAACACGTACATGGGGGGGGGGGGCCTTTCGTACCACAAAATTTCTACTTTTCAAAAAAAAAAAGGCATCCCCTGGTGGGGCCCAAAGCGCCGTCGTGGGAAATTTCTTCATTTGCGTACCCCCAAAAACGTTTTTTAAAAAAAAACCCCGGGCATGTTTTCCTTTCAACCCCCCCAACCCCCAACCCCTTTTGATTGGTATCGGGGTTTTACCTCCCCCCCCGGTGGTTTTGAAGCTTGTGT